AGACCCAGATGTCTGTCCACCGCTGGGCCCCATCCAACCGGATTGAGCTTGAGAGGATTTGCAAAGAAGAATGGCAGAAAATCCTCCAATCCAGGTGTGCAAAGCTTATCACATCATACTGAAAAAGACTAGAGGCTGTAATTGCTGCCAAAGGTACTTCAACAAAGTACTGAGTAAAGGGTCTGAATACTTAAGTACATGTGATATTTCAGTTGTTTTTTCTAAATAAATTTACAGACATTTCTAAAATTCTGTTTTCACTTTGTCATTATGGGGTACTAGGTGTAGATTAATGAGAAAAAAATGAATTGGAACGATTGTAGTATGAGGCTGCGACATAACAAAATTGAAAAAAGTGAAGGGGGTCTGAATACTTTCCAAATGCACTGTATGTATGTTATGAATGGTGTAGGTGTGGAAAGAGAATGGTCCATAGAGAATGGGTTAGTATGTGTCAGCCTACTGTCTTCTGGCATGTATTTTCTGTCTGGCCACAATACATTCCCCAGTCCTGCTTTGGGATGTAAACCTTTGAAATATCTGTTCCAGTACAGAGGTCTTTCTTTTGAATTCCTCCTGAATCAGGTAAGGCAGGCTAGCATCTAGGAGGCCTTTTTGATTATGGCACGGACATTCTCGGGAAACTTCACATAGACTGTTTGCTACACGTTTTAGTCCAGTTATAACAGCTGCTACTTCTAATTTATCTGTGCTTACTATTAACCACTGTTAATTGTTTATTATTTTAGGCTGTTTTATGGCATTTTATGTTTTTTTCATGCAAAGATGGGAAATATCTGGGGGAGATGGGCGGCATATAAATTTAATAATAAATAAAAATAAATTAATTAATGATAGTCATAGTCATGCAATTTGTCTATCATTTTTATGTGTTTATCAATGCAATTAAGGAAATAAATTTAAATATCAAAATATATTTCTACAGTTTTGCTTAAAAAGGAAATTCATAATTTATATATTTAAAAATCCAATTTCAAGGAAATTAATTTATCATGCATTACTGATGGGAAGAAAGTGACATATCCTTTGAACTGGAAAGCAATAAGAGAGAAAGAACTACACCCTTCAGTCCTAGGTATAGACAAGAACATATAAAAATACTCATGGTTATGAGATAAATGGCTAAAGCTCTTTTCACTGGTGTGACAGATAACAGTATTATCACACTTTTTACTAAAAATTGAAGTTGTATACCCATTTATTTGGAATAAGTACCACTGAACTTGGTAAGATTTATTTCTGAGTAGACATAAAACCCAAGAAGCCCCAAAGCCCCTGTAGCCAATCAAATTCTTTTTGGAGACCCCCAGGTAGGTTTGAACATCCCCAAAAGATATTCAGGTAATGCCAGTTCTGATCTTTGAGGTTCTATATAGGCATCATGAGGTTAGCAAATAGTTTTTTGTTTGATTGCAAAAAAGCAATATAGTATGCCTTTAAGGATATATCATTATGCCTGTATGATAAACACATTAAATGATCACCCTTATTTTTTTAAGTAAAGACATGTACAGTATAGCTCTTTCAATTTTATAACCGAGGCAACCAGAAATACAATACTTCTGAGGAATAACTACACTGGTCTGAAACATAACATGTATAAGAATATTCCTTTGTGTTGATCCCAAGCATCAGAATACTTATTTTGGGGTGTTGGCCATCTAAAATTATGCCACCCTCCATGTTTCCAAGCACTCTTGATGAGTAGAGAATGCTCTCCTAAGCAACCTTTCCAGTCTGGATGCCCTCCAAATGTGTGTTCAATTCCTAAACCTCTCAGAAATAGCCATGCTGCCTGAAATTATGGAAGTCAAAACACACACAAAGGGATGCTCCAATTGTGAAAGGCTATGCTAGAACAATATAGAGGATGAATGACAAGCAATGAGAAACCACCTGTGAATAGCCTTAACTGACCAAATGTGATTTATGGCAAGTTTCTCCATGTAGGAGAACTTTAGGGGATGTAACTGGCTGCAGATGGAAGGGGGGAAAAAAGGTTCTTTCATAAACTTAAGACGCAGTTGAGGACCCTGCTTTACTAATGGTGCTGATCCATCTTGTCTTGGTTTTGGTTAGCACAGTAGGTGAACTCAAAACATTGTGGTTTCTGTTTATGGTATAACATGATGTGTGAATCCTCACAACTGTGCTTTACTCAATCAACCATGGCTATATAACCATGATTTAGTGTGATATATGAAACCAGATCAGTGATTTTTTTTTAAAATTTGTCTGCAGGCTGCAATTGGTTCTGTTGCCTTAGATACAGCACGGCTTACTAAAAATGAAAAGCTAGAAAAATATGGCCTGTATATCTTGACAATAGCTTTCCTAGCAATCTTAATCACAGCTCCAGCCGGAGCTTTGTTAATTGGCCTGGCCGGGCCCAGACTTCTCCGCAAGACTACCAAAGGTAGTGAAGATAGCCCAGAAAAAGAAAATTGTTCACCAGTATAGAAAATCATCACTGAATGATGTGTCACCCGCTTGGCAATCCAGGAAGCCCCACAGCGATATGCAGAAATCTGAAAAGCTGTGGAATGCTTTGGAGGTCTTCCTAAAACAGAAACCAAGGGAGAAAAAGGATACTGTTACCTAAAATCAGCATTCAAGAGTCTCTTCAGCTTGATATAGGGAGATTTTGGAGGAAAACAACCACAGTTAAAACGGAAAATTTAGCCATTCCAGTGATACGGTCATAGTTTAGTCTGACGGGAATAGCACAGAAGAGGATAAATTCAGAATAGCTCTTTGAAGAACTTGAGAGCCTTGGAGCAGATATATCCAAAATCATCAGAAGTTTAAAAAAACAAATACACATCAAGAGTGAGATCATGGGATATGGAACAGAAGGCACAAAACCTCCACTCAACTGCTTTTCAGGAGGCAGACAATCAGCATAGACAACGGGTATATTCAGACTTCTGAATGCTCCTGTGCGAGCTTAGGAGACTGATACTTTTCTCTTTTTCCACCACAAGAAGAAAAATACCCCTCCCCCAAAAATACTGTAATGGTAATTAAATTTGGATTTTGCATATAGGATTGTTTAGCTTCTGTTTCCATATACTGAATATTAATCTCACTGTTCTGCTTTGCAAAATCACATGATTCTGCCATTTACCTACATATATTATAAAAATGTAAGCATAGAAAGTAGCTGTTTGAAAACCCAGTGAGATGAACTGGATCAGGGAAGAACTATGGTGCTGTTTCAGTTTCTTATGATTTTAAATATGCAGAGAATAATGGCTAGGATGCCAGGAAATAATTCCTTCGTGAGATGGACAATGGTGACTATACAAGAATCATGCATTTTTTCACTCTGTAAAACAAAGGCATAATTGAAACTTGAGTTTAATTAAACTCTAGATTTCAAAAACTAGACCTTGCCAAAGCATGAGTCAAGAGCTAGACGTGATCCTTATAATTTTGTTTCTCTTATCCACAATTGCAGCTTTGTGTTATTTCAGAGTTTGCAGGTCTTTATGAGCACCAGCCTTTAGAAAAATTATCCATGTCCCAGAGCACTGTATGATTAAGAGAAAGGAAATGTGCCGGCAACTTAAAGTTATGTAGATTTTATTTTCAAAATTAGCGATGACTATGCTACCAAACAAAATTTATCAACACTTTCATCAGTACTCCCACCCTTTAAAAGATTTATTGTAATGCTTTGTTATGTTGTTGCTATCCGCTTTGTGAAAAAACTCATAATATGGAAAGTTGAATAAACTATTTTTTATTTTCTTAGCTTGCGTGCTGCCCATTCCTGAAGGCACTAGGCAGTTAACAACATCTAAAATAATGGCTACAGAAAAACTGAAATACAGATAAAATTGTTTTTTTTCTTTAAAGATACAAACCAAAGAAATACAAGTGCCACGTGTTTGCAATCTCAGCTACAAATTACAACCCACAATCCTCCTGTGAGAGACAAAACAGGTCTTCAAAGTTTTCCTAAAGACCATGTGAGATGAGGCTCATTGAATTTCTGCTCAGAGGGAATTCCAGAGAGTGGAAATAGCTCTGAAAATGTCCACGTCTGAGATCCTGTCATGTGACAATCCTGGAGGGACAGGACTTGGTGGGAGTTGACCCTATTTGATCTGCTTGGATGGCTGATGAATACAGAAGACAGTTCCTCAGATAACTAGGTCCAAAGCCATGTAGGGCTTTAAGGGGGACAACCAGCACTTTGAACAGCACCTAGAAGCCAACTGGCAAACAACGCAGCTGCTCAAAGAGTAGGGTCATCCATCACTGGACTTGCCCCAGTCTGAATTTTCTTCAAGGACAGATCCATGTAAAATGTGTTATAGTAATCTAAATGGGAGATAATTAGGGCATAAGTGACTCTGAACAGGACTCCCACTCCAGGAAAGGTTACAATTTGTCCATAAGGTACAACTTTGCAAAAGCCCTCCTAGCGATCACTGCCACCTGCTCTTCAGCAGGAATGGTGAGTCTAGAAGAACTCCCAAATTAACCTCAAATGTACAAGAGCCTCCTGGCCCATGCCACTATCCAAAACATTTTGAAGGAAAACTAAAAATACAGCTATTAAGGGGAGAATCCCCATTTCACAGCATTGATCACCTGCTCCCCCTGCCCCCAAAATAGTTGCTACCGTTTTTAACAAAGACCTGGTATAGATTTATTTAAAAGTGTTGGTTGTTTAGAAAGAGAAACAATCTGTTCTGTTCTTTTCCGGAATGATACTGTTGATTTTCCTTCATTTTGGATTTGACAACTTAGACTTTATTGTACAGATTTAACTCTGATGTTTGAGTTTTTAAAAAAACAATGGAAGTATAACAGTGCATCAAATTAAACATTCAATATTTGAAGTGTAAGTATCAATGAAATCAGAGTAGTGCATGATGCTTTGTTTCCATGATCAAACCTGTATTTTATATAATGAAAATATACTTTGCTATCTCAGCATTTCTGGCCAGTATCTACAGGTAGTCCTCGCTTAACGACTGCTTGTTTAATGACAGTTCAAAGTTACGATGGCCTCGGAAAAAGTGCTGTACGACCTGTACTCAAACTTACAACCGTCGCAAACCATCACACCACCACCCCTGCAGCCACTTGATTGCAATTTGTGACTTTTTACAACACTCATTAAGCGAATCACCATGGTTGTTAAGTGAATCACATGGTCATTAAGTAAATCACATCATTAAGCAAATTCTGGCAAAAGATGGGAAGCTGGATTCACTTAACGACCACATGATTTGCTTAACGACCATGGTGATTCGCTTAACCACCATCATAAAATGGTCGTAAAATTGGGTCTGGTCACATGGTGAATTGCTTAATTTTCCGGTCCCTATTGTGGTTATTAAGCAAGGACTACCTGTATGGAATCTCCTGATGGATGAAAAAGAGTCAACTTTAAAATTGTAGGCTTGGATCTTAAATTTGCTTTCCCAAACAAAATAAGTAATATTCTCAGCATTGGGCTTTCCTGTGGTGTATTTTACAGCCTCCCAGAACTCTTGAAACTTTGTTCTGGTGGCTTGAGAAAAGCTTGCAGATAGCATTGAATATGACATGGGGGATGGAGATAGGTGGCGGCATTTGTTGAAATTATTCCCTCCTTCATAGGAAAGGAAAAGTAACTTGTGACCCTTTTTGGTGAGGCAGCTTCGCATTAGTCCACAACACAGTTCTGTGTCATTATGCATCAGCTGAAAACTGCCTGATTCTCTGATATGTTGGAGGAAAAATCATAGCAGGTAACTAAGCTCACTGACTTAACTATCCAGATTTTTTACTCACACAGATGTATGAGTTAGACCAGTGTTTTTCAACCTTGGCAACTTTAAGATGTGTGGACTGGCTGGAGAATTCTGGGAGTTGAAGTCCATATAACACCGAGTTAGATCATTATGTACTGTAACATTTCTATAAGCAGAGAGTTTGAAAAATGTTGAATCTCATTCTCACCCAACTCCAGAAGATCAATTGCATCTCTAACTTGAACCTAGTCAAATGTGAACTATTGCACAGGGTTGCATGAAAAATGGTTAACATAAATCCTGTGATTCTAATGTTAAGAGCACAAGTTGCAGATATTTTGTATAATCCATTTGTTTAACTCATTTGCCATTTTTTTTGACTAAATTTCTTCCAGTTCATAGTTCATACTGTTGTGCAGTATCATATACTTCAAGAAAGATCCTTGGTCTCCGTGACCAGAAACATAGAAAATGCAAAAACTGCTTCTTAAAAAACAAAATGATCATAATGAGGAATACACAACTGTGATTTTTTTTTAAACCATAAATACATATTTTTCTTCTAGAAAGAAACTGATAGTAAGCATACCGTATCTGTACATTTCTAGCAACAGTTCTTCCATGGTAAGTATGCAGACAAGGGATTTACAGAAATAATGGAAATTCTTGAGACACCAGATACAGAATGCAAGTTTACAAACAAGCCCTTCACCAGGTAGTAAACCAACAAAGTAAACTGCTTTAGTAGAAAACTGGATTCTGTTCATGGAGAAATTCCTGGGATTCAGGAGCATGGAGAAAAGGAATCCACTTTTACTTTGTCCAAGAATATTCTGATTGCAGCCCATTTCTTCAATGAAACAAATAGTTGGCACACACCTTAATCTAGAGGCAATTATTGTTGCTTTACTGATTTGTCTGATTCCTTTGGAGCAACCGGTATTTTCCAGTGCATACAGCTTGATACTATATGGAACATAAGCCATGACTCTCTAATGTTACTCTTGCACATGGGAATCTGAACCTAACCATGCGCAAGACTGGAAAGACTGGTAGATGGGATATACAGGCCAAGCAGGATTGGAAAATATGGGAAAAATCATTAGACTATGGCATAAACAGGCCTACATGAAGTTCAGAATACCATACTGTTCATGTGCTATGAACTAATTTGTTTGGTGGGGGCAGCAGGTTTAGTAGCAAATAAGTCAATTACTGCATTTCGTTCAATATCGTCACTACTCACTGAATCATGAATTGTGTAAATAAAATATGCAGTTCTTGGATTGAACTGTTCTATATTTCACAACATCAATACATAATACTGTATGATAATTTCTGAATCACAGACAAGCCAATTATGTACATTCTGTATCACTGCTGAGAAGCAGAAGACACTGCTACTAATTTGTAGATCTCTTTAATCATTCTCAAAGACGGGTATCTGACGTTCTGTATAAAAGTGATCCCTGCACACACTCAATGTTCAGACTGAAGTACTGGCTCATATACAAATTCCTAAACCCATTTAAGACCAAAATCATGACTGCCTTTGACAGCCTCCCCAAATTAGGTCCCAGTTTGGGGCCAGTCTGGCAGTACAGCTGGATTAAAAGCTGTTTAAATCTGTAGTGTAGATACACCTGTAGTTAGAATAGAGATTATCTATCTATCTATCTATCTATCTATCTATCTATCTATCTATCTATCTATCTATCTATCTATATTTTTTGTTACAATTACTGCAATTCTGGGAAGAATAATTCTGCTATGACTGCAAAGCATACTTATTATAGTAACTTTTTATTATATAAAACATATACAACACGTTACCAAATGTCTAGCAGTCTATAAATCTAAGTAATCTAAAATATACCAAAACTTAACCCTGTGATACTAGACTGAAAGCTCTACATACATGTAGAGTTGTATATAGGTAGACTTCCCTTCAGCACAGCATGGTTAGGAGTTTGTTAGACTTCTTTTTTCCTGAGTATTAAAGGGCCCACATTATCTCCTGTTGACTCATTGTGTTTGTTGTGAGAACCATCACAGACAGGGAACTGAAACAAAAACAAGAAACAAACAAAAAGTAGGAGACATGGAATGTTACTGGTTTTAGGACTGTACTTAGGATTAAAGAAAACATTACTCTCAAAAGCATGAATAAACAGAACGGAACACAATACATATCCAGAATGGATTGGTTGGCTAGCTTAGCTTGGGTAATAGGACAGAACAGGACCAAGGCTGAGAGATATCCAAAATTTAAACTGAAATACAAATGACACCCTTGATGCTTTAAAATATGGACTGTGTTTGCTCCATCCCCAATACTAAGAACCACTGACCAAGATGAGCATGTAAGGTGTATTCTTTAAAACTATGGCTTAAAGGGGAGTGGGGGTAGGCAGTGTTCAGAAATGAAAAGCTGCAAAAGATATTCTGTCCAGAATCTACTCCTATTTAACCACAATAATTGGCTGGGCTTGCACATGTTAAGATATAAAGTGTGGTTTAGAAATCATAAAGGGCTTGGTTTAAAATATGGTACATAAATAAAGCACATTAGTTTATTTTGAGAATTCAGTTGGTACTGGCTGCTCTTTGCTTATATTCTCACCTTCCTCTTTAGTTCCACTCCTGTGGTGGCAATACAATTATATTAAATGTCGTATATAGTATGTACATAATTCTGCTCAGTGTAATCCACATGCTAAAAGAACTGAGTCATAGATGCCCAATTTGAACACATGTCAAATCATAATTAACAAAACCAAAATATTATTTGGCTCTATATCCAAATTAAACTATGGTTTGTGATCAGATGGCATACTAAGAAGTCATGATTTATAACAGATTTGCGAAACATTTGTCCTAACCATGTAATGGCATGCTACTCCTATCTGGAGTAAAATGGATCACATCTATACTATAGTTGTTGTTCTTCTCCAGCAGATTCACACTTGCAGTTCAACATGTCAGAAGCTAAATGAAAGTAAGGAGTTTTAAATCATCTGAGTTATAAATCATGGTTAACACAAGTGGATTTGCCAAGCTACCATGCCTACTCTAGATCTCCATGCAATTTATGTGTTCACAAAAGCACATATAAAGTTCTCTGGCATCATCTTTCCCAATGATACTGGAGGACTAGAACAAAAATATTTTTTCCAGCTGCAGAATAGATTTAAAAATGCAGATATTTACTAGTATGCATGAACACTAGTTCTGGCAAAAGTAAAAAAAAAAAAAAGCTATTAATTCTTCACTAGTGGATAAACAGTCTGCAAAAACACTCTACCCCCAAGTGTACAATCATGACTTTTAAAAGAAGCAAACCAGACTTTATCATAAAAGACAAGGACCACTGTAAACAAAAAGGGAACAGCAAATCAATAAAATAACTCACTGTTTTGGAGCGCCAGCATCTGCAGTACACTGCCTTAGTGTGACACAGATCCTCAATGTTGATTTCATTTACTACTTTGGGATTCTCCTTCTGGATCTTGAGATTAATCAAGCTGTCCTTCTGCTGTTTCTTCTTAGGAAGGAATGGGCGAATAGCAAGATATCCAAGCAGAGCGAGGACACCCAGGAAAGGCAATAACCGTAGCCATTCTGAAACTAAGCACAATGCACAAGCATATTATAGAACAGCATTCTGCATCAACTTATTTCAACCTCACCCTTCATTACCAAGTGGTTTTGTCCTAAGGACAGATTACAAAACCCGTGCAGCAACTACTAAAAGTACTTCCCAGTCTCACATCAGCCCTCTAACACGCATATAATTTGCAGTACCAAGTGCAAAACAATGACAGCCAGTAGAAAACAAGGCGGCTGTAATGACAGGAAACTGTCCTGTTGGGGCCAATCTATGGAATATTTGTAAAGTGGATTTATTATTTTGTTAAGTCATCCACTTACTAGACTTCTCTTGTTAGATGGGTTCACAGAACAGAACAGGGTAGGCTAAATGTATTGGGGAATTTGGGGTTGAGTATCTTATGGCAAATACATCCATTGTCCTAGCATGTTGGGTGAACCAGACTATCCTGTTAAACCACACAATTTTACTGATTGAAATTGAAATAATGGATGACATATATTTCCAGTAAATTAAATGGCAATAAATTTAAAAGAATACAATGGCAAGTCTGGTTATATTTTTTCCTATGGAAAAATTATTTTGATTTAAATTCTTTTTCTCTATATTTGTTCAAGGCAAAAACTCAAACCTTGAGATTTTCCTTGGAAGAAGTGACGATTGATCAGTAACACTGTTCCATGAATTTCTAAAAATCAATAGAGATTTATTTTATTATATTTATCTTAATAGATTTATGTGGCTGCCTATCTTACAAATGTGATCCTGGGCAGCTAGAATATGGATGGCTCTCTAATAGAAGAGATTGCCATGTTGTTCAGAATGATTAATTCTTGCAGACAATTTGGTTTTTCTAAGAATAATTATATAAAGAAAATATAATTTTGATTTATATCTTGCCCTTCTTCAAGGGGGCAAATTTTGTGTTCCAAACCATTTCCCATTCAGGAACCCTCTGTTGTAAATACTACAAAGCATCAAGAACATACAGATGCTTTGATGATTCACACTGTATGTATTTCTCCCTTCTTAGTTAAATAATCTAATGCTAGACAAAGAAGGTACTATGTTACAAAAATTCCTTTTATCTTGGCAGAGACTTTATTGTTGTTTCAGCCCTAAACTGAAGGATATAGCTTTTACCTTGGAGTGATGGAATCACTGGCCATTCTAATGGTTCTGTGCAAAGAAGCAACCTTTCAAAATAAAAGTGAAAGAACAATGGACTCTTCATTATTTCAGAAGTGAAATAAGAAGATACTTTCAAGATCACATGCATAATATGGAGGCAATGTAGGAAAAAATATTGTTTAAATGCCAAATAGTTATTCCAAACTAGTCTTATTTATTTAAATGGCCACCCATTTTAAATAACTCTGACTAAAAAATGATGATGATGATGATGATTATATTTTTCCTGATATATTTTCAACTCAAGATGGGGAATATACTCGATACTCCTGCCTCCTATTTTCCCCACAACAACCTTGTGAGGTGGGTTGGGCTAAGAGAGTGACTGGCCCAAAGTCACCCAGCCAACTTTCATTCCTAAGGGAGGTCTAGAACTCAGTCTCCTGGTTTATGGGCCAGCACCTTAACCACTACACAAAACTGGCTCTCAGTTACAACATACATGCAAAATTAGCTCCATCTCTTAATCCATCACTCAAACATAAAGATTCTTGGGAATGCATTAGCCAAAGATATTTTGCTGCCATTCTAAATTCATAATAAAATGGAGGAGTGAAATATACATAAATACAGGCAAGTTCACATGCAAATGTATGCAAAATATGTATTAGTTTCTGCTATTCTTGAAGTTCTCATGTTGCATCTTATGCAGGTGTCAGGGCACAAAAGACTACTCACTTTTGTCCTGCCCATGAGGCAAAGCAGAGCAATTTCGTATTTATCTATTCTGATGTAACTTTAATCATGTTCAATAGAGCTTACCCTCAGTTAAGTGGATGTAGAACTGTGGTATAAATGAATTTTTGATTAGATTCATACATCCTGGGCCTAATCATAATGCAACATTTGTTTTTGCCTAGCATGTTGTGCAAACTCCATATTGTGGGTTTCTCATTAAATCATAAATAATCAAAGCTTAGTTCAACGTGCAAACCAGGCCATCTAGATAATCAGTTGTGTTCTTAGTTTCTTAAGAAAACACAGGCACCAATGGAGCAAGTTTTATGTTTTCCCTAAAAGGTATCACTACAGGTAGTCCTCACTAACCGACTGCCTCATTCAGCAACCGTTCAAAATTACGACAGTGCTGAAAAAATCTTTGCCACCAATGCCTACATTTACAACCTTTGCAGCATCCCTTGGTCATGGGATCACCATTAGTCAGTATGCATAGTTTTTCTTTTTTTCCACCGTTACTGAGGAAAGAGATTGGAGAGGAAGGGATTACAAGAGAGTAAGCAGGCATACAACGGGGAATACACCAGGCTGTTTGCATAGCGTGTTTACAGCTGCCAGTGCCAGCACATTGCTTTCGACGTGTATTCCCCACTGTGTGCCTGCTTACTCTTTTGTAATCCCTTCCCCTCAAATGAATGTAAATACAAACATTTAATTCCCTTCTTGTTAATTATCCCAGTGCCAGGAAGAGCATTCCAAAGGGCAGGGAGTGGTTAGGAGGCAAACAAAACTGAAGGTGAGAAACTGACCAGTCTTGTCAGTTTTGAGCTGTAAAGCAGCTGTGATCACATGATTTCCCACTTACCAACCACTTCGCTTAGCGATAGAGTTGCTAGTTCCAATTGTGGTCACTAAATGAGGACTACCTGTACTTCTATTACAGTATTTTGAATGGAGACAGATATTTCCCTCTGCCAGTCAGTCACATATCCTCTGCAGGGAACAGAAGCAAACTGCAGTGATACCAATTTAATCAAGTATACCAGTATAAAAAGCAGAGTCATTTGGGGATGATATGGTATATTTCAGTAGAATTTTTTGGAACAGAAACAGGAAGCGAGAGCAGGAAGACATAACTAGAGCACAATGCAATGCCAAATTATCTAAAAATTCTTTGCTGCTTTTTCATCTTCCATCCAAATAAAGTGGAAATCACTTTTTGCATCTTCTGCTAAAGCACATTATTAATAAACAAGGAATAAATAAGGGAAATATAAAAACAGATAATCAAAATTGGTTTATCATAAAAAGACACTCTATATATGGCTGAAGAAGACGCAATGTATCCTCCCAAGTTGCATTTTGTTTCTTCTTTCCTTTGGTCCATATAGCACATTAGATTAGGCTAAAAAGGGACCAAATAGTTTGTGATTCAGCATATTTTTTGTGTTTTATTACTTTAATATGCAAAAAAAAGGTTCATACAACATATCAGATTAAGCTAAAATGGGACTGACTGGTTTGAGGTACAGCATGTTGTAGGAACTCAGTCACTGACTTACCATTAGCATCTTGCGTTAGCCAGGCCATTATGTTAATTCATTATATTGTTCGTTAGTTTTATACAGCATGTTGTGTGAATCCAGTCTTAAGCATGCTTATCTATATACTACTAAAACTCTTGTGTCTGTACCCATCAACTGCGTGAAACGGTGCATCATAGGGCAACAATCTTTTTAACCAAGGTACCTCAAATGGGCTAACTTACAGAATGCATCCCAAATCCAGAACCCATTACTCCCATGAATTGAAATTTGGGAAATCTGTGGCTGCTTCAGCATTGCTGCACCACTGCAGACAGCTCAGGTCACTATGGGCATATCCTCGACCTCTTTCCCGCCTCCCTCTGTCCCCTGTGCCCAATCGGCTGGTGGCAAGGCCCGACGGTGAGTGGCAATTGGCTGCTTTGTAAATGAGGCTGAAATCTGAAATCTCTTAACAGTGGTTGGTGTTGAGGGAAGGATGAGGGAGAGATCTGGATGCCTGCTGGCGAGGTAGGGTTGGTTGGGGGCACCAGTGGTTAATGGGTGAGCCCTCTTTCTCGAGGCCCTTGGGAACACACCAGAATGGGGAGTGGGGGTACAGCTTTCCTCCTGGTCCACGGCCCCCTTTGTTCCACCTCCCTCCAGCAAAGTGGCAGGCAGTTCCACAGGTCAGCTGAGAAGGCGGCGGCTTAACCAGGGATTTCCTAAGGGTCGTGACAGGAAGACAAATGGCGCAAGCCTATATTATATGTAGAAAGGGAGGGAGGAAGGGAGGGAGGGAAATTTCTGATGCTCCCTGCCAGCTTCCCACAAACAAAGTCAATGGGACTCTCACTGCTTTTTTGCCCTTGGTCATTCTGTTTCTCTGTTTAGGCAAGGAAATATCTCTGAAACGATGACCCAACAGGTCATGGGTTGTCTAGTTAAGAATAAATTACTAAGTTCACACATTATGCTAATTGTTGAATAAGCCAGTGAGTGTTCATACAGAATGCTACACCATAAAACATGGCTTACAAATCTTAGGGACCAAGTTCAGACAACAAACTATGCCATAATATAATTCTGATTTAGTACTGGGTATGAACCCAATAACTGCTTACTCCACAACCCAATGGTTAAGCAAACCATGACCCTGTATGTTTGTTTATTGTACTTTTATTTATTATTGTCCCAATAATTTTCTTGTAATATGTGAACCAAGTCTTGGTTCTCCCAGGCAGAAATTTCTCAGCATTCCCATAAAGCAATGGTGCCTTTTATTCTATCTTTTCTTTCTTGGTTGATTTTTGAGAGGCTTATTAAATAAAACAAACAGTGGTGGGAAAATACAAGCAGAAGATCATGTTGATTGGCCCCACTGCTTAAAAAATCAAAGCCTTCTCTGAGAGCACCACAATGTGCTATAGATCATTAATTAGGAAGTACTTAGAGAAGGACAGATTTTATCATTCACAAAATTCCATTCTCATTTGAAGCTACTTTCTGTAGAAACATACCTGGTATCTTACCTAATTTGCACATGAAAAGAACCCTGCTGCCCCTCCAGAGGCTTTTAATAGAAGGAAATATTAAATCCATGAGATGAAATCAACTGCATTTAATTATTTAAATGTACATTAAATCAAATTTAGATTTTGTCCTGGTTCCATCCATTTTGTTCTGTCCCTGCCTTTTTGGAATATATTCCAGGTATGTCTGTCCAAAAGCTAAACACAGCCATGGACAGAAATAAACATGCACACCTCTGTTCTAGATGAACAGATGGGATGGCAGCTAGACCCAGAACAGAGCTAGAGGTTGTTTTTTTTTCTTTTATTTGAGAAACAGCACTGTGAGATAATATGCAGGGACTATTCTAGGAAAGGAAAGTAGAACAGAAAATCATTTTGAGCCAGGGTGCATGTCACATTTCTATTGGACACATTTGTTGTTGTTGTTCAGTCGTTAAGTTGTGTCCGACTCTTTGTGACCCCATGAACCATATTGCACCAGGCCTT